GATTGTAAATTAAACTATACACTTTGTAATTCCTTAAAAACAAATATATGTCAATAAAACTTTATGTGGGTCTTCCTGGATTTTTAAATTCATACTTGTGAATAAAAATTCACACCATACTTTGCTTTAAATTTTACAATGTCACTTGACCTTTTCTTGTTACTTTTGAACATAATATTTTTCTATTCATTATGAAAGATTGACCCATCATTTACAATATCAAAATGTATATCATTCTGAATGAATTTTGCTTCCCTTTAATTCATTACATACTGGTTTATTAGTGATATTTGTAGAATACCGTTCCATAAAAGATGAAAAAGTAATTTTTATTTTCTTCTGATACAGGTTAGAATGTAAAAGATGCTTAAGACAAATTTGGTGGGGCTTTTTCAGCTGCTATTTCCAAATTTGGAATATTTCAAGCAAGTGCCATTAAATATAGGTGCTATTTGAAAATCGTAAGCCCTAGTATGGGTGACTCGTTGGATCTCAGCTACAGAAATAGTATTGCAGCTTGGAAGATAATTAAATAGCAAGTGAATGTTAATATATTAGCTTTCTGACATAGTTGCTTGAATTAATTTCTATGTGCACGCTAATTTATTTGGACAATATTAACAGAAAATAAATACCCATCATAAAGCAGCAAAATAGTGCTTGAACAATGTAATTTTAAATTTAGATAATGCTGTATAATCTAAGTGAAAGATTTGGTGAGTTCAGCTTATACTTAAAGTACTCTTTGTGCTAGCTTTGTGTGAAGTAAGCTATGTATTTCAGCTGCTATTTCCAAATTTGGAATACTTCAAGCAAGTGCCATTAAATATAGGTGCTATTTGAAAATCGTAAGCCATTGTAGCCAAGTCAGGAGCTGATAACAAGTTTTCAGACTAACATATTTTATTAATGAAATAATTAGTATCTGATGATGTGAAATTACAATTCACAAAACTTATTCCTTTCAACAAAATGTATTAGTCTGAAAAGGTGCTACCAGTTTCTGTCCAACCTTTGTACTAATTTATAAGCCTCTGTGCAAATAATACTTCAAGTTACTGTTGCCACAACAAACTGTCCCCAAGGTTTACAAAGCCAATAGCAGTTTGAATTTGTATTCTGAAATAAGAGTATACTGAAATACAATAAAAGGTTGCTCAGTATGCACCATTAATTCTTGAAGAACAAAAAAAAGCAAAAATAAGTAGTACATGTTTCCTTGCTAAAACTAAATTTTTATTAATTTATTGCAGAGTTAAAGGAAACTTTGAATTTCTATGGATATTTATCATGTGTATGGAAACTTGCATCTCAGTTTCTAAGACATATCTTTCCAATAACAGATAACTTAATAATCAAACTTTTTTGAAATAATAATTTCAAATAGAGAAAGCACCGGGTACAAAATAATCTTTACAGCAAAAATCTATGTAAATAATAATATACGTATGCTGTTAAATTGATTTCGCTGCGAATAAATATAGAATTGCAGTCTTAAGTATTCCATAACATATTTGGAATGAACGTGGATGACTTTAACTATAGATTGGTACAGGCTTGTGATAAATATGAATTATGGTTGGTATATAAAAACATGAATTGCCATTCCTAGTTTTAAAAAAAGAAATATTACCTGAAGATATAATTAATAGAGTTAAAATGAAATTCCTACTTCTATTTTTGTGAAACAAAACAATCTAAACTGAAACAGTGCTAGTGCCAGGTAAGATACATGTGGACATACATTTTCTGATTCTAGCATTGTTTCTGGGTTATTCCGATTAAACTGGCAGTGGTCATGCCTGTGAAAGGATGAGCTTTTATAGATTTGGGAGTAAATTTGAAGTCTTGTTTGGCCTTAAATATATCTTTTTTTTAAACAAACAAATCTATATTAATTTTTGTTAGCCTTTGTTATTATTACCTGTGTAAATATTTTGAATTCAGCACTGAAAAATAATCATAATACTTTCCCAATATACAGTATTTCATTTTTAAAAAACATTAAAAAGTGCTGTTTCAAAATATTCTTTAGAGTACATTTGTGAAATGATCTTGCTTAATATATCATAGCTATGGCTGGCTACGCAACCATTTTTAAGAAACATTATGCATATGGTCTGCTGCTGTTGCAGCATTCTTTTTGTGATATTGATCTAGGTGACGAGTCTTTGTTGAGGTGGAGCATTTTAGAAGGGCATGCTATGATTAAAATATTGTGATGTGGCATTATTGCATAACTTAAAATCATGCCACTGTCACCTATCCAGCATTTTGCAAGAATGAGATTTCTGAATTTTATTCCAGATTTTCCAGTGATTAGGTACTCCACCCTTCTGGATTGCTAATGTTTAAAACTAAAATGAGTGATTTTATTAACAAAAATAAAAAAAAGCATGCTTGATGATGGATATAAAGTCATCATGAACTATAATGAAAAAAAGATTTTACATTTATAAATTCCAAGCACAAGAATTATTTGGTTCTACATTTTTAAAGCAACTTAAGTCCATTTTATACTAATCACAATAGGTATTCATTCATTTATTTATTTTCCAAAGTAAATTAGCAATACAATATACTTTTATCTCACATATTTAATGTGCACGCACACACACACCTTAACAAAGTCTTAACTATGACTGTCATAGCAACTAATATTTTACTCATTTGAATACATCAGAAAACTTGGCTTCTTCATTTAAATATTTAAACAAATAAGAATACTTCACTTGAATGTGTTAAATGAGGGAATTTTAAAAGTTGTATTTTACACTGAAAATTAATAAATTCATCTTAAAAACAGCTATAACAGCACCCTAGCTTGGATATAATAATATAGTAAATAGACAAGGTTTTGTACAGGTTTAAATAACAAATTACACATTATATCATAAATCTGCTTTTAAGAATAATGCACCTGTACTGGAAAAACTGTCTTGCCAGAAAGGCAGAACATGCTAAGGAATACACTTAACTAACATACTTTAGTTAGATGCTCGTCTTTTCTTTTAAATCATTTTGTAAATTGTTCAGTGATTGAAAGTTAACTTACCTGCCAGTTCAGGAACTCAGATCCAACTTGTTCGGAACTATTAAACTGCTGCTGTCAGTGTTGAGAGAGAAGTACCTGTTCACTGCCTGATTAAGTGAAACTGAAGGAGGCTGTTTCAATGGGAGGGACTTAAAAGTGTAGGAGTTAAGCCCTGAGGGTGTAGAGATGCACCTGATATTACTTCAGCCTGAAGCTACAGTTCATGTGTTTCCCTCTATTGCTTTCATTTGATGTTGCCTCAGCATTCAAGCTATCGAGCAGAACTTTTGCCATGTCTGTTGCCTTCAACAAGCAGTATTTGTGCCACTCTCTGATGAACAGCCTCCTGTCAAGGGGAATGGAACATGACACAGGCACGGTTCTCAGTTTAAAATCATTTCTGAGTAACAGGGAGTTTATAACTTAAGACCAAATGATTGTTGCAGGCTGCAACCCACGACATGACTTGGTTTGTACTTTCTTATCCTGGTCTTTCAGCAAGAATACTTGTATTCTGTAACCTACCTTCCACCTCCACCTCCCCCCTGTGTTTGTCCTCATGATAACTTCTGTCCAGAAACAGCAAGACTCTGTGCTGTAGAAACCTGCCAAAGCTTGTTAGCTGTTGGCAGCCATAGGATTGTAAGTGGAACCAAGTCATTTTAGCAGGACATGGATTAAGTTGAACAGTCACTAAGCATATTGTATGAGAATTGTATTATTATTACATGATTACTGTGTGTTATTGTGTGTGTGTGTGTATGAATAAACTGTTGTTTAGGCTTACTAGAAAGAAAAAAAACTCAATTTAGTGCCTGAGCATCCAATTTTACAGGAGGCTCATTTGTTGTCACAACCCATTTTTAATTGCACTCTGTATTCCCAGCACTTTTCTTCCTACAGAAATTTATTAAGGAGATAAAGATGGAATAGTTAATAATAATAATAATAATAAGGCCATAAATACCTGGGCAATACCAGTTATAAGATACACAGCTGGCATAGTTAACTGGACACAAGCTGATTTGGACCTTTTGGACCGAAAAACCAGGAAACTAATGACAATGCACTACAGTTTACATCCACGTGGTGATACTGATAGATTGATAGACTATATCTGCCCCGAAAATCAGGTGGCAGAGGATTATTACAAGTGAAGCAAACAGTTGAAGAAGAAAAACATGCACTGACTGATTATTTAAAAG